GTGTGTGTGTGTGGGGGGGGGGGGTGCTGAGGTTATTTTGGTTTGGGGCTGGTGGCTGTTCTTTGGGGTCATGCCTTTGACCACAGGGGATTGATTATCTCTGGTATTTGGAGATGGTTTGGGGATGATGGGATGATTGGCGGTCGGGGCTGGTAGCTGGGGGTGGGGATGTGTTGCTGTTGGGACTGTTGTAAAGGGAACAGTGATGGAGTCTCACCAGAGTCACTTAGAATAATCCTGGTGGATGCTCCATCACTGACCATTTTTAAATCAAGATCTGCTGTGGGAATTATTTTGGAGAGGTTCCTGGGCCTTTGTTATGCATGAGGTCAGACTCTCTAGATGATCACAATGGTCCCTTCTGGCCTTGGAATCTATGAATAAGAATGTAACGCTCCAAAGAGAGCTTCAACCAACTGGTGCATAAGTAACATGTTAAAGAGGGACATACAAGCCTTGGGGGATTATCCTGAGAATGTTCATACATCCACAGCTGTGGGTTTATAAAGCCCATGAGCGCACAGTAGGTAAATGTAATAATTATTTAGGTCACTGGTTAATGTTGGGACTCTCCCTCTCCCATGTATTAGTCCTTTGTTTGTTTCAGCCAGATTTTTAGTTGGGATTTTCCTTCATGTTCTGGATGGGAAATTGGCAGAGGGAGATTATCTGGAACACAATGAATTTGGCTCAGAGATCAAATGACTCACCTAAGGAAACCCAATGAATCAGTGACACAGACAGAGATAGACCCCAGGATGCTGCTCTAACCTTTAGACAACATGAAATTAAGTGTCCCCTAAATTTAGGCATAAAGGGCTATATTTTTAAAGGAAACAGTTTGGCCTCCTTTTCAGATAGTTGCACACAATCATTTACATATGTGAATTGTGTGCCACAAATGCAGAGTGTTGGGGTTCTTTTAGCTGTAGGCTTTAGGAATAGGAACAGCTTGACTGCTTTTCAGTGTATTTATTGTCCTGTCTTGGAAGTTAATACATATTTCTGGGAAGAATTTTTATACAGAGATTAAGGATGGTCCTGGGGGTACAGCAATAGGAGCTCTGAGTTCAATTCTCTGTCCTGGACTTCCTGCCTCCCACAGCTGAAGTGTGCAGTGGGGGCTGTGTAGGGCTGCCTATGATGGCACAATGCAGTGTCTATGGCAGGGGAATTCTCTGGCTGCTTGAGGACTGGTTTTGGGGTGGGGTGGGGGGACAGAATGCCACTTAATCTCTCTGGGTCTCCATTTCCTATCTGTAAAATGGTGATAGCAATCCTTCTTTTGTTTGTCTTGTCTGTTTAGACTGTAGTCTCTGTAGGGCAGGGAACTGTCTCCATGAGTGTCCCTGAACAATAGGGCCCTGATCTCAGTTGGGACCCACAGGCGCTACTGTAATACAAATGCATAAATAATAACCGCTGTAATGGTTTCTCACTGGGACCTGAGTTATGGTGTCTGCATACTCAAGTACCTTAGGATACATTCCTAGTTTTTGGACCAGTTGTCTGGAAATACCCTTTTTTTTTAAAAAAAGGGGGAGGGGGCAGATCTCAGCTGGTTACTAGGACATCTGGTTAATCCTGGCTGGGGAAGGAAGGGGGGGGGGGAATTCTTCAGTGTTGAGACATTACACTGTAGGTTCCAGACACAGGGATCTGAGAAACAAATTCTGAAGCAGCTCTGGAGTTTGCACCAGTCCCAGGTGGATGGGAAAGGCAGCTGGATGGATACCCATGGGGAAGAGCTGAAAGTTAGGATCTCTGAGGTTGGTAAATGTGTATTAGAGAAAATGATCCACAGAAACACAGACGGTAGATGAAGGGCCAAAATCCATGTGCTGTGTATGTAAAATCCTGACACAGGCTATGTCAGCAACTTTTCACAGGCCCAAAGTCCAGAGGCCTAGCAAACAGTGAACAATATTAGCTAAGAGAAGCAGAACAAGCAAGAGACAACCTTCTTTTTTACTAAGATAAGCATGGTCAGCAAACCTTCAGATGGGGAGCAGTAATTGGCACTCTTATCTGAAGCTGCAAACAGACCAAAGGATTGAAAGGGGTCCTGTGTCTGTGTCTACTCCTCTGCAGGAAAAGATAGCCATGCCCTCCCCACATACCAACCTTGAGTTCATGGAAAGGTTCAAACATGTCAGTATGAGATATGACATCCTCCCTCCTCATTGGTGCATCCTCCTCTCTCCCAGATGCCAATGTCTGCCTTTAGAAACACAATGAGCAACCTGAAAAAAACAATTTCTATTGCCATGTACTTTTCAATTTTTTTTTGCTTTAACCCCCAGGAATGTACCTGTTGAACAATCAGAGGAGCTACCTCATTCCTATGGACCCCAAATCAGAATTCAACATATATATTTTTTACTTCTACACTTTATACATTGTTTAAAAGAAAACACATATTGTTAATACATAGGTTACAGGTTAACTTGAAACCATGGGCGGAGACATTATGTAATCTTTAAAGTATTGGCTTACTGTGCTTCTCTTGTCTTGCTGCTCGACCTATCCAGGGGCTCGGGACCTCCTACCCAGTCATTTCCCTCCACCCATAAAGGTTCCATATAATCCATTGTAATCAATTGCTTGGCAGTGTCTCTGAGCCTAATAAGCAACATGACACTCTGCCAGTGCTGTGCATAATAAACCCACGTGCTTGATTCTACACGGTGTCCATTTTGTTCCTTCAGCAGGAGACTGTAAGGAAGTGAAGGTTCCCCTGGGCCCAACTGTAGGGGATTCCGCGCCCATCCTTTCTAGGGGCCATTGACTGTTCTGCCCATTGCTGTCAGCAGGCCTGGTTACAAAGTATATGTGGGGGAGAGGCAGGGCACTCGAAAGTCACCAAAAAAATGTGTCCAGAATTTATGGGACAGCTCCTTACCCTATGTGAGTCCTCACCTCAGTTGCGGTAAGACTTGGTCAGCCAAACCTCGTGTTTCCACACACAAAATGGTTGCTTTCCCCAGTCAACACTTCACGTGGTCACAACTTTCAGGATCCCCATAGGGCTTATCTGGAGAGGAAACAGCCTGTGTTACTGGAGGATTGATGCCCATTCACATTATCTCAGAGACTGTCAGCATCATAAACCCTGTGCAAAAGCAAATCCTTTAAAAAATAAAGTAGCCGCCCTGTAGGGAGGCCGTGTGGTTCCCCGGTGCCCCAGAGAGGGACGAGCTCCGCCAGACACCAGAGTGGGCGGAGCCAGAGCACTCCAAGCTTGCCCCCACAGGGTCAGAGGCCGGACAGCAAGTATAAGCTCAACCCCAGAGCTCACTCAGGAGGCAGCCACTGGAGATGCCAGACACCTCTGGCCCAGCTCCTGCTGGGGAGACTCCAGTAATGGACCTGGAGACTGGCCTGCTGACACTCAACGCAGACCAGCGTGTGGGAGAGGTGCTGAGCCTACCCCTTGCCAGCTACCTTGAGGATCCAATGGTGATCGAGCCCCCGTCCTGAGGACACCACCTTGACTCAGGTATCTCCAGAGGGGGAGTTGGGAAGTAGCCTGGGGGCAGACCCGAGTCTGGCTGTAACACAGCCAGAACCCATGTCTGTGTTGTGGCCAGGATCCCCACTGACACAGCAGCGGGCTTGTGGCTGTTGCTAGGGTCCTGGGCTGGGATGCAGTGGAGTGGAAGAGCCTGTGTCCCCCCCTCTCCCAGGCCGCTTGAAGCCTGGATGTGCTATTTACCTGTGGTTGCTCCGCCCCTGCCTGAGGGCCTGAGCTGTGACTCTCTACTGCCCCGCCCTGACCCGGCCCCGCGTTATCTGTTAATTGTTACCTGTGTGTGCTCAGCCCCCTCCCGGAGCTTGAGGCAGGACTCCTGCACCCGACTGATTCCCCAAGCCCAAGGGGCCGTACAAGGA